CGTGAAGCTTAGTCCCAGTTGTAAGTGAATGCCCAGACTCAAACACACACATACACACTCTCTCTCTCTCTCTCTCTCTCTCTCTCTCTCTCTCTCTCTCTCTCTTTCACACACACACACTCTCTACATAAATGTAAGATAAAAAAAAATATTTATTGAAATTTAAACAATGTGCCAAACATGCTGCTGTGTAAGGAGAAAACATCACTCTTATAACAGAGGAGGTACTAGCCCAAATGGAGAGGTAGATATATCAATAAGTGACTACAACAAACCAGTAAAGATCCTGGGTTGGGCAGATTAAAAGGCATTATTAGTGTAGCAATAGAAAAAGCAAGTTAACAACATCGATTTGAGTGGAATCTTAAATAGTGAGAATTTGCCCAAGTAAGCCCACAAAGTGAAGATGTTAAGAATAAGAAACAAAGCACCTAGTAGAAGAGCTTGATGGTTAGAACACTGAATGTTCAGTAAGCAGTGAATCTAGTGCAAAATGATATACAAAGAAAGCATGGATGCTTGAGTCCTTGGGAAATGAGTGGGAAGTCCAGAGGAGCTGGAAAAACAAATTGTGGAGAGCCTTGAACACAGTTCCAGTTAAGAGTTACATTCACCTACATGTAACAGACCCCTTCTACAGTGGCTTTACCAAACAGGATCTTTTTTTTTTTTTTTTTTTAATTGCATGATATGTTCTAGAATAAGAAGTCTAGAACTGGTAATGTGAATCTACAGTATAATTAGTGTTCTAGGCTCCTTGTATATGTATAATTTACTGTCTTTAGCTGTAGGCTTATTTGCTTTGTGGTTATAAGCTTCTCTTGACTTGCATTCTAGAAAGGGGTGATCAGGAATGCATTGAGGTTTCCCAGAAGCTCTTAAGAAACTAGTGTTAGTTTGTGCCTCATTATCTTTCTTAGCTACAGAGAACCTGAGAAAGTGATTATTTGTTGAGTAAATGACGGCTTTGAACAGAATTAGAGCAGAGTAGAGCTGGTGTAGCAATGTGTGCCTTAACACCCCCAGGATTAAGGAGGCAGATGCAGGGAGATGGATCTCTTTTGAGGATAGCCAGAGTGCTACAGAGTAAGACCCTATCTCAGAAATAACAGCACCAATAATAAAGCATAGTGGGTATTGAACATGTAACAAGCAGTGCTCACCATTGATACAAGCTCAGTAAGCTTGTAGTTTACCCTAGTCAGTCTGTCTCAAGAAGACTGTAAAGTATGCAGGTACTCAAGGAAAACCAGTTTGCTTTTGGTATTGGTATGCAAGAGATTTGGCTCAGAAACCTGTTAACCTGTATAAGACTGAAACTTTTTT